ACTTGGAAAAGGCATCATGGAGGTCTGGAATGGAATCTTCAAAGCAAAAAGTTCGGTCTGCAACAAGAGAGGTGGCGTTCAAGAACTCATTTTGGGCACGAAGTCTAGCAAGTGACCTTGATCGTCCAATGTTTCCTTCTTGATTCAAAGACGCAGAATCAATATCTTGGGATTTAGCAAGGGAACCATCTTCAGACGCTTCTTCAAGAGCTTCTCTGAGTTTGTTTTCTTGCAATTGGCGGAGAATGGAAGGCTTTCTCTTTCCGTCCTCCCTCAAACCAGTACCATTTCTCCTATTGCTTTTCTTGTCCGCTATTAAAGCTGCACAATGGGATATTGGTTTCCATAGTGAAAAATGCATGAATGGCTGGCTCTCTTCACTCACTCTGTATCAAATCTAGCTAATATGAAGGCAGAAAAACCAGGCCAAGCTCAACCAAGAACCCAACCTTTTGCTTGTCTTATTCAAAGAAGCCTTATATAAAGCAGAACAAGTTTCAAACCAGGGTGGAAAGCAAAAGGGGTTTATGTTTTGTTTCAGAATCAAGCTTTAGCTTTTTAAAATAATTGTAAGTTAGGCACACAGAGAGGGAGAGGAAAGCCCTTTACTTTATTGCCTAGAACATTCAAAATAACAGAAACAAAGACTGTTGAGCTAAGACTCAGACCTTTTGTAAGATCACAGAGGGTATGGTCATAAAGAACAGAAAAGGAATAAAAGGGGAAACAAAGGTTATGTCTGATTAGAATAAAAGGCTCCAGCTTGATCAAAGAAGAGTTAGCTTTAGCATATCATCCCTCAAGGGCCCATAATTTGAAGCTTCCAATTCAAATTCAACAACACCCCAAAGCCTTAACCCCACCAAAGATGCGAAACCCAGATTCGAAGACATGCCAAGAAAAGAATTAAAGCATCAGAGGATTAAAAGAACAAGCCAAAAACTGGCTCTTCAAAACTCTTTAAAAAGATGAAGGAAAACAAAAACTACCCCAAATTGAAACTCCCCGAGAAGGAACAATGATAAGTAATGAAGAAGGAAGTACAAGAACACAACGAAGAGAAACAGAGGAGACTCTCAACTACTGCTAGGCTACAATCGGTGCTCCCTCACCAACCACCCCCTTTTTTGTGCTGTGTTTTCTCGCTGAGGTTGTAAGTAGCAGCGGCCAAAGAGCAAAACAAAAGCCAATCCTTTCGGACCAATCAATTCCTCATTTACTACAGACAGTTAATACAAACATGTCTGCATTGAATGCCGCTTGCCTTTCTCCTTTGTCCACCATTATTACACCTCACCTTTTGAGTGTACTATTTTGCCCCTCCCCAACAACCAGCTCTTTCTCTTTCTTCGCAAGGACCAAACTCCTTATTACAGAGTGCAATTTCTCATCACTGTACCAAGTTTCTATCAACGTAATTAGTATTTTATATTCCTGAGTACCCCTTTCATTAAGAAAACATATAAAAAAATGACCGCAGAAAAAGGAAAATAACAGTGGCAGCATTTTCTTGTAACCTTTGTTTATTCTTCATGGAAATAGACTATTCTAACTTTTGCAATTTCGTTTCCAAGACCCCAAATGTGGAATACTTCTGAATAATCTCTTGCTGAATGGTTGTGTTCTAGTGAAAGACATTGATTGGGTTTCTAGTTTCAACAACCAATCCATGATAAAAACAGAAAAATTAAGTTGAAAAGGTGGATATATAGGTGCATGCAACCTTGCCAGGGAAGTGTCTAGCTTTACTGTTCCTTTTTTTGTGCCAAATTATTATAGAATCATAAGTCTGAATGCAATATGCAATATACCCCATCTGTGAAAATTGCAATAATGCAAAGAAAATCATGCTATCCAAAAACATATTTTGTAAGGAAGCATGATTTAGACTGAACCCTATACCCGATTATATACTTCAAACTTTACCTCACCAATAATATGTTAGCATGACACAACAACAATAAATAATAGTTTGTTTAATCTAATCAAACATTAATGGCCCTCCACAATCAACAGGGGCAGTCCCGGACACAAAGCTCCCTACATCCATTCCAATTGGGTATCCATCACCCAATAATGCCTTTGGATGCAGTAAGGGTAGGCTGACTTTTTGAGCTGCAATGGTGGTTTTCATCACTTAGGATTCCAACTCATTTTCCTGGAATGTTAGAAAACAGAGTGTCATTTGGACTTTTATCAGACTAATATTTTGACTTCTATTGATTGTGAGATAATAATCTCCAGGATAGAGAAGCATTGACCAAAGGGTCAATTTCCCTTTAAAGAACAAATTTTGAGTTCAAACCACGTGGAGTCCTAATGACCGCAGCTGTTGACCTCTGGTTCTGTGGTTCTGTAGACATAAAACGGTGCGTTTTTGCTCGTAATTTTTGGTTTTTGTTCCCCCCAACAAAATATGGGTAATCAAATAGTTTTCAAGTTGTGTGCCTAAAGGAATTGCTTTTACTTTTCCTCTTTGTCAAGGATTATCATTTTTATGACCTCGAATTTTCAACCATCCTTCTATTTCAAGGTTGTCTGAAACTAGTAAATTAGATCGATAAGCTAACTGTATGCAATAATCTATGTATCCAACAAGACGTTGAACATGGGAGTCTGTTTGGTCTCAATCTTTTATTTGTTGTTGTTCCCAACATCAGATTCTTTTGTTTATAGCACCCTTTTTCTTGTGTTACACATCTGTTTTGTCTACATCTTCCATGCAAAAACCTTCAATACTTTTGTCTTGCTAGTAGGTTTAAGAACCATTTGAAAATCTTCCTGTTTAAATTAACATTTACCAATTGTTTACAGTATCCCTCTCTGACATTGAATAGATGAGCAAATCAACATCTTCTAAATTGTCTTAATGTCTTTTGACAAGCTGGCTTCATTACAGCAGCTAAATTTATTACTGCAAAGTATTTTTATAGACTTGCGGAGATTGGCATTATAATAGCCGCAAAAAGGGTTCGGACAATTAACAAAAAGGACCAAAGAAACAAGCCAACCTAGCCAACAGAAAAACAAGAAACAATAGGAACTGTCCAACCAGAAAATTCTGCAGCTCAAAAGAAGAAAGCAGTGCAATTATTGAGCTAATAAACCCAAACTCGAATTCTAATCGTCTCATATGTATATACTTGTAGGTTAATTAGCAATGTTTAAGTTGGATAAACATGATTAAAACTAGCAGTAGTATCTGACACATGGGTCATAGCTGAGATTTCTGTACTGACATCCCAAAACTTCAAACTTGCACATTTGTTTGACACAGCACGAACCTCGATACTGGATGTCTGTCTTCCGTGCTGTTCCTCACTTCAATTGGGCATGCTCGTGGTCCTTCATGTCATTGTAGATCAACAGGGTTTTAGGCACGAAAACAACACTCTTTTCTATGGTAGGTATAGATTATGACTAAATTTGTAAGCAATTGAATAGGAGGGAGTCCTTTTTGAAGTGATGGAGTTTGCTTTGTGTGCTTTTCTTTTCTTTTTTAAATTTTAGTTGAATCACTTTTCCTATGATATCAAATTTCATTTAAAATTTTTATCTTTGCCATAAAGTTCACCAATATCCAAGCAAGCACAGCTTAGTGAGGCCACCAGGGCTTAAAATTTCTCGAGATGAGACAGCCATGCAAATGTTGGTGGGTGATGTCTTTTCTAATATCTTTCTTTATGGGCAATAATATTGCTGGGTTTGCTGAGCAGAGAGACGCTTTTTGGTTTTGGCAATTCCCCTTTGCAAATCATGATCCACCCAGCTCCAAAGTCCTTTTAAAGAAAATGCCAGAAAAAAGCCAGAGTTCATGGGCACAATAATCTAAACCCCCCCTAAGATGACCTCTTGGTTCACCATCCAATATGATAAAATTTTCCCTTCCTGATTCTGTAACCTGAATGTCTCTCAGACAAACATTATGATATAATGGAAAAACTGTAGTGAAATAAGAAATACAGCATCGAGATTCAAATAAAGAATGGAAGAAAAACAGGGAAAAAGACATGATTGATGCTTTGAACAAATTTATTGTACAGACAATATCTCAGAGATAGAACCTCTCTATCTTCTAGAGTTTATTATAAAAATCATCTGATTCTTTGCTTTGATCCACTCAATAAAAAATTTGGACATGTTTTGGATAGTGGTCAATTGTTTTCTTGCTAAACAAACATTACAACTAGAAGGCAAATTTCCTTCCAGGGTCCAGACAAAACAACTTGGAATGGAAACAGACAAGAAAAAGGGAAAGAAGATCACAAAACAATGAAACTACTCAGAAATTTCCAAGTACCAAAGGTCCAAAAGAAAGATCAAATGAAATGTACCCATTGTTTCCAACACTGACATTTTCCTATCCTGAGGCTAGCTTCAGTTGGCTTGCAATGAAGCATAACACAAGTTCTTTCAATTTCTTCGGCAAACAGTATAGTCGTTTGCTTGGTTCAGATTAGAAAAAGCCTTACCGACACTGTTGAGCAGCAGGTCTCTATTTGCTTCATGGTAACAGAAGGGACGACCTGGGTAGAGCAAATTTGGTTATAACCATTAGACAAACAGACAGCTTTAAAAGAATAGTGATTCAGGAATCTTTTCCCATGTGGAAAGGCAGCGAAATGAGAACAGCCAGTGCTTCTAAATCCCACGTCTACCCATTCGTTGGCTGCCCGAGAGTTACGTTTCACTGAAAAATCAGGAATAATAAGGCTTATGCCATTACTGACGATGGATCATTAGATGATGTGTAAGTTCTTTCGGCTTGGCTTGGGTGTGGTTCTATGAAAAAAACACCAAGACAAGCCCAACCCAATTACCCAATGCTCTAGTCACAACCTGTCTGTGCTGGTGCCTGGGTCCAGTTCAATTGAAAGGGCGACAATTGTTTACTACTTATCTAGGAAAATGTTTATTTCAGGGAAACAGAAAAAATACCCGATATCTCATCGCAACTGTCATGAATCAAATTTAGGCACTACAATTCCCAAATTAAGTTGAATAATAACAGAAACTTGTGGCGACCAAGAAAAACAGAAAGAGAGATTCTTGCAGAGCCTCTCAAATGGCCTTCCACACGTCTGGTTTTTTCTTTCAATAAAACATCCCCATGGTTCACTTTTGTAATGCCATTTCCTATTAGCAGCCTTGGGTCGCTCCAAGGTTATGACGGGCAAGAAAACACTATCAGCCATGCAGGCCTCGGGCTGCTTCCTAACGCTTCACCTGTTGTCTCTTTTGTCATCCTTCTCTTATGCTCTATCCGATTCCGAAGTTGCATTCATTGCTCGTCGCCAACTCTTAACTCTTCCTGAGAACGGTGATCTGCCTCATGATTATGAATATAGTGTGGAGCTTAATCTCACGTTTGAGAATTCCAGGCTCAGGCGTGCATACATTGCACTGCAAGCGATGAAACATGCCATATATTCAGACCCGCTGAAAACCACCCAGAATTGGAAAGGCCCGAAGGTTTGCAATTACAAGGGAGTTTTCTGCGCACCGGCTCTTGACGATCCGAAGTTGATGGTTGTTGCTGGCGTTGATCTTAACCATGCGGACATTGCTGGGTATCTCCCTGTGGAGTTGGGTCTATTGACTGATCTTGCTCTGT